GAAGAATCTAAAAACGCAATGAAAATACAGGGTGTTCTATTTGAAATAACAAAGATGATGCTACTTTTTGGTAAAAGTGGCAACGCTGCATCGCTGAAAATATTTTGAATCATTAGATCACAAACGCTTATTAGAGTAACCAAATTTTTAGGATAATCCAATGTACCGTTTTCCGTATACGTCTAAGGTACCATCGACCGTGGGCCACCCTGTATAATAACAAAAAGATTCAGAAGAATGAGAGATCGAACCAGATCTCTCTTCAAGTTGAGAACGTATAGTTTATTCGCCCCCCAAAAAGGATTTGTTGGAGAGGTATAATCATTTAAAATTTATTTGATTATTTTCTTCGCATAATTTCAAACCAATCAGAACTTTCAATTGAGTTGAGCTGCTTCCTTTTATAATTTCGAATATACGTGGATATACATATACAGGGTGTTTCAAAAAAACCTGACCCCCTTACTAGGGTAGGTAGAACACTGCAAAATAAGTTGGGTTTACTCAGTAAAAAAATTTCGTTACGGCATCCGTTATCAAGATACAAGGTGTTGAAAAAAGGATTTTTTTTACACATTTTTCAAGATTATGTCGAAACTACTGGCAACATTGTGATGACATTTTGTATGGATGTTTCTTGGAATCTGACACATCGCATGCCTTTGTTTCTATATCTGACTCTCATAAAGGGCGCTAGTTACACGGTTCGTACCGAGTAGTTTTGAACATAACTTTTTTGAGGTTAGATTTTTCAATCCAAATTTGATGTGAACTTGAACATCATTCAATTTCACACCTGAAAGGTACTTTTGGTAAAACTCTATACTGTGTTCCGTTTTCGAAATATTTCGATTAGAAAATGATCAAGTGATAACTGTTGCTGGTATAAAGCTATGTAATAGAGCGAGTATTATGAAAAATTAACACCTATTTATTGAAAACCGAAAACAGCAATACATTTCTGATGCTACACTTATTGATTTAACAATGAATCACAAGAATAACATCGAAACAGATTTGACTAAGAACATGGATTACACAGTTTTGTTGTATCTTGAGCAGAAAGTCTAAGCTACATAGGTAAATTCACGTCAAGAGTTATGAGACATAATTGAATATCACCTAAATGACCTAATACCTGATCCTCAACTGTTTAGAAGAATAATACATTCTTAAGAAAAGAATATAGAATCGTGTATTCGTCGAAACGTGGGACATATTGAACACTTACTCTAACTGATTCAATATTTCATGTTTCTTGTCAAATATCTCTTAATTTTCAACTTATGATTCTTTGTTCCATCAATAACTTCAGCACAAGAATGATCCTATTGTTTTCGAATCTGAATAAATAGGTAATTGAACTCAATAAAATTCATTTTATACCAGCATCAATACTACTCCAATATTTTCAAATCAAAATATTCCGAAAACGGAACATAGCATCGAGTTTCACCAAGAGTTCCTTTTTGGTGTAAAATTGAATGAGGTTTAAGTTCATATCATATTTGGATTGGGAAATCTAACCTCAAAAAAGTTATGTTCTAAACTACTCGGTACGAACCGTGTAACTAGCGCCCTCTATGAGAGTCAGATATAAAAACAAATTCATGCGATGTGTCAGATTTCAAGAAACATCCGTACAAAATTTCATCACAATGTTTCTAGTAGTTTCGACATAATCGTAAAAAATGTGTAAAAAAATAATTTTTTCAACACCTTGTATCATGGAAACGGATGCCGTTTAGACATTTTTTCACTGAGCAAACCCAACTTATTTAGCAGTGTTCTACCTACCCTAGCAGGGGGGTCAGGTTTTTTTTGAAACACCCTGTATAGAGTAACTCCACCAATCAGAAATCTAGAAATATTTTTATTTCCATAGTAACCAATTCATATTGTTACATACAAAAAAAGCGCGTCGTAAAATTTTGACGTTCAGAACTACTCAAGAAATAATTACAACTTGTGTGAGTTTAACAGAATATGTCTACTGTTAAACTGACATTCTTTGTAATTATTCGACAAGTTATCAATGAATAACCCGAATATTTTGAAGTACTTACAGTATTTACTACTGATTACTACTGATATTTTGAAATAAAATCTTCTTCTTAACCATCCTGTATCTCTTATCTCATCTTCATATTTGGGTGTTTACTATCTGTAGTATAGAAATTTCCCTAAATAAAATTATTAAAATGTCATAAGTGGAAAATGAATCTCTTCAAGAGCGAACACAAAAACCGTTGAAGCAAGACAGCTTGATACAGAGTACATTTTTCATATGGAATTGAACGAGCTTTATTTTGATCATCAATGAATTGACATAGAAGATATGATGTAAATTATCGAAATAACAGAGTGCCACTAGCACCATCTAGGAGCAATCATAAAATAAGTTGCAAATTTATATTGCTCATGTCAGAAAACCTATAGAAATACAAAATTTCATGTTCATGCTATCAAAACTAACAAAGTTATTGGGAAATTTTGAAATAAAATCTCCCCCTAGAACATCCTGTATCTCCTAAACCAGCAACATTCTCATCAGGCATATTGAGCTGAATCTCATTATTTTTGTAAGTTGCAAATACATGGTTTGATCATGGTGACAATCACTGATTTTTTATTTCAATTTAGTGACATAATTGTTTTCTGAGGGCCACCCTGTATCAATAAATATGTTGAGTACGCGTCATTTCATGATTTTTCATCACCGTATGACCCAGAATGACAAAAAACACAGATCCAATAGAAATTGGAGCCTCAAATGCTCATAAAAATACTGATATTTCAGTAATGTGTGTGACAACTCCAAACATTTCAGCACCGTTCCAAGAAAACAAATAGTGTGAAATGTTTTGCATCTCAAAAAAGATAAGAAATACCCTTCTTTTAAACGGGAGGCCTTTGATATTTTTTGAAAATTGCACAGCTTTGAATATATCACCCTGTGGAATATCTCATTCTGAAGAGATACAATACTCATGTTCTTCGGTTCGATAATCAATTAAACCGACATTTATGAATTTGAAAGAAATTGGGACTTACTTGAGGTAGTGGAAAGTTATGATAAATCTAAATTGATCGAAAAATTTCGGTTTCACGTTGATTCATCTATAATTTTTATTTCACGAGTCGCTACTGAACATTTTTACTGCTAATTGTTTCCTTTCGTCACTTTGATGATCAAATTAGGTCATTCTTGTGATTAATCTACTTCAATTATTATTAGATTTCTTTCTAACAGATATCCCATAAAAGAGTGTCTCTTGAAACACCATATACATAAAATAATATATATGTTATTTCGTTTCGTTGACCAATGAATTTCATGACAATTTATTATTATGAGCTGAATTAACTGAGATATATTGAGAAGATTTCCATATTATGAGAAATAAATGTGGGTTGGACCGCTTTGATTTCAAAATATCATTCGAAAAATGGCCAGGTCATCATATAGAAAATCATTTTGATAGATTGTTTCCGCAAAGAATGATTAACATATTCAATATATGAGGAAAGTGAATATGCATGAACTAAGTTTCATAATCGCCTTCTTCGGTCTATCCTATCGATTGATTGTCAGCAATATGTTCTTCAAATCTTTTGCCAATAATTTGACGTGTTCGCCCAATGTATTTAATAATAATCGAACCTACTGATGCATCTGTCGAAGGTGGTTTGCAACGAAAAGATATGCGTCTAAGGAAGAACCTGAAGTCGATAATCTCAAATAGACGAATTTGTGGCATAAGCCTTCTTGGCGTTAATTTTCGTACCGGTTGTTTCATCACACAGGTAGTCGAATATATATGTTTCAAATGGTTTAAAGTTTCCATATAAATCAATACCCTATCAAATGGAGAAAGGTTAATGTCAGTGACCGATTAGTTAATTATTTCGAGTACCACCTGACAACTTTCATTTTTAACTCAAGAATCTTTCTTGATCTCAACACCGCTTGTCTGTAATATATCGACAGCAGGACGATATTTTTCATGGACCAACTTTCTTCAGATAGGTCTTCGAACCATCATTAGATGAATTAATTCGATGTTATAGTTGCTTTTCAATTTCCAACTTATTGTGTTGCCACACAATTTCACTGAATTCGGGAAAAAATTGATTCAAAAGTGCTTACCCAATCTAGTCCAAATACCACGACCCATTTCTTGATGACAATTATTTTGTAATGTTCTTGTATAATTATTGAACAGATACCCAAAATGGAGTAATGATCCAAAACCTTGAACAAGAAATCAAATTCGAAATATTCCATTGTGAACAATGGAAGAATTAGTCAGTTCAACTATACCGGGTGTTACTAGAACTATAACACGTAACTTCTGAATCACTTGGGATAGAATGACGAGTGGACTGATATCGAATTATCACTTTTTTTTATGTAAATAAAGAGTCTATGCGTTGTTCGATATTTCTTATCCTCTATTACAAAATATCATGTGAGTGTTGGAGACTTGGCAACATTGTGCTGAGAATGCTGAGAACTGACAAGACCACGCCCACGAGTCTTATTATTATCAAAAGTTGAGGTCATTTCTGGCGACGCTGGAAGTGACTCGAAAGGCATTATCATATTAGTGAATTCAAGATATGATGCTATATGAACCCTTCAAATTTCAAAATTTTATCCGGGGGATTTTTCTCAATTCTTGGTATGATGTGATAGTTCATGTGGTTCTATGAAATATTTTCATTGAGCCAACCCCAAAAAACGGACAGTTTTTTTGCCAGGGGGGTTTGAATTCACATTTTGATCGAATTTACCATTTATTTCTGAGGAAATGAACTATATTTCAAAACTTTTTATTTCATTCAATTACTTCTAAAGATAGAGTCTTCATAGAAAAATATAATGGGGGGAATTATTACCCCCAACCCCTATTTTGAAAACAAAAAAAAAAAACAATTCCACTGTCAAAAGTTCAAAAATCGTTTGAAAAATCTATGGATTCCTCAGGAGCATTATTTTTCAATGTCTTTTTTTTGCTTCAGAATGATAGACACGGAGATTATGGGCGTATACTGGGTGGTTCCCAAACGATGATAGATGCAAGAAGAAGAGACCTGGACAGGATACAAGATCTGTTTCCTCATGATTACTTAGGCCTTCACTTACCAGAACCTACCTCTGCCTGTAATGGGGTAAGAAATTTTCCACCTTTTTCAACAATGTTTTTTGATAACCAGATAGATATCAATGAAGTGTGATTGAAAATTGGTCAAAACTAGTTTCGAAATACTCAAATTATCACAATTTTATACAGGGTGATTGGAAATTCGATGTAAATATTTCAAGGACATATTGTTGGGATCAAAATAATACTTTTTTTTTTCATATAAACATGTGTCCTTGAATACAACCCTGCCGAGCTACAGCCATATAAGTCAGGTGAAAGAAAAAAGATTATCTAGAATTATTATTCCAGATTTTTTGTGATTTTCTCTCCTCGTTTCTATAAAATAAAAATATGAATATTATTTCAATATACGTGTAGTAAGAACAAATCAGATGATGTGCCCCAAAATGTCACTGCGTTTAATTAATTTTTCCTCCGATTGGCAGCAAATATTAATTTTGCTGACACATATCAATCAGCAAAGTATTACTTTTCCTGCCTAGGCAGCAAAGTGGGTACTTTGCTGCCTAGGCAGCAAAGTGGTCACTTTGCTGATTGATATGGATCAGCAAAATTAAAAATCCATAAATCGTTTATAATTTCCTTCATATTTCTTCCGAGACTTCTCCGGCAACAAATTCAACTCTATATTTTTTTCCACCTCCCTTATTAATGGAGGTGTAAGTATACTTCTAGGTCGCTATCACTGTCCATTATATAATAATTTGAATATACCGATATTTTTTCGCACAACTGTGCGGGTGGTTCAAGATTCAGACTTTTGATCACCCTGTATTTGTTTCAAATAAATGTCAGTAGATAGTAAATCAAAAGTTGAGATAGGGACATGAAAGCCGTTTTGACCAATAATGAATAGTTTCGACTCAAAAAAATCCTAAAGTTGTAAAATCTCGATTTTGAACACCCTATATCTCTGTAATCATTCCTGCTAGACCCCAAGTGTGATACATTGATGAAATCAGCTTTTCAGGGAGAATCTAAAAATGCAATAAAATACAGGGTGTTTCATTTGAAATAACAAAGTTGTTGCTTCTTTTCGTTAGAAGCGGCAACGCCGCGGGGCTGAAAATATTTTAGAATCATGTCCCCCTTGAAAATTTAGTTGACGTGTCTCGGGATTTTTCAAAAACATACACACATTTCGAGAAAATTAGGGTGGGAAGTCCTGAAATGAACACCCTGTATATAATAATTATGTCACTGTTTATTTTTGGTTCTGGTATTGGTTGATATCATTCGAATATTCTATTCATTTTTCAAATCCATTCTGAAAATAACCCTCAACGTTCGAATCGAGTCGAATATTAAAAATATCTTTCTGAGTTTATTTGTTTTTACATCACCCATGTTTTTCTAAACGATTAGACTTAGGTAAACACCATCTTCCTATTAACGATAATATTATAATCTATACAAGGCAGGTCATGAGAACTCTAACTTCCTGTACATTCCAGAATTTAATATTTGGAATTCCTCATGTGTGACTAAACACTCTTGATCTTGAATTAAAGCATTATAGGTAGGTACAGAGTTAAACAAAAGTCTGGGTAATGCTCAAATTTCTCAGGAACCATTCATTATAATATATACTATTACGTTTCATAAAATTATACAAGATGATTACATAATATATTGTTTGTTTCGAGCTTACTTAGCTGGTATTGTTACTACATTCTCTATCATTGGTAAGTTATTGAACTTCGTGTGATATCCTCATAACTGATCTCCGAAAACACTATCTGTATATCAACAACTGTTCCTGACCGTTCTTAAACGTTTGACTAACCACATGACAGTTTTTCTGTGAAAAAATTAAGGCTTCCATAACGTGTGAAAAGATGTTGGAAGCCTCATAGCGATGCCACTGCCAGATGTCTAGAGACTTCTAAGTGCCCATCTTGATATTAATAAACGAACTGAGTGTACCGGGTGACACGTTTATTAAGTATCACCCTCTATACCTTTATTATTTTTGACAGAAGAAAAAAATTAAACAAATAGTCTTACAGGGGATTTTTTTTCCTCATTGAATCAACTGAAATATTTTTAGTATCTGAGAGGATATTCAGTGTAAGAATTTTAAATGGACTGCCCTATATATTATCGTTCCATTAGATAGACCTTTCGAATAGCTTTCCGAAAATACCCCACTCAATACACTTATCTTCAGTATTACTCATAATATAGATGTTTGGACCTGAAATTCGTTTCTATTGATTTCTGAATGAATAGCAACTATAGAGATGTATAGAAATTTAACTGGTGCGCTTGCTCCCTATTGAAGGTCGTTTGCAAGTTTCTCGATGGCGCCTACTCTGATAAACCTTTGATAAACATACTTGACGTGGGTAAATCTTGCTAAGCTCATCCTGGTTACAATCCATATTTACAGGAAACATATTACCGACCGATAAATATTTGGATACGTATATGATTTGGATCAGAGCAGTGAACTGATTCCTGATCAAAGGATCGAAATGTCAATATGTCAAAAATATTCTTGAGCTGAAAAAATGGTTATTTCTGAGATTGGGGTCAAGTGTTCGTTAGGGACGTGTTCTGTAGTCTCTAAATTTTGTGTATAATACATAATCCACCAATGAAAAATAGGAAATCTCTGTTCTATAACAGAATTATTTCAGTGATTTGGAATATTAACGTGAACTGGTGTGAATAAATTCTAGGGTGAGTACCCAACCAACATTTTAAGAGAATTATACCAAGCAGAGAGGAGAAATTACTCGAAGAAGTCGAAATTTACTAATTTCCGACAAAATATTGTACCTTTATGCCCTGAGTAACTTGAAAGTTATGGATTAGGTTGTAAAATGCCTGGTTAGGACCTCAACATTTTCTATAAAAACCAACAACTTTATAGACAAATTGCATAGTTGGAAACTACTCATTACAGACTTCAAACATAACTTCATGGTCCTAGTGAGCATTTAGTTATCAATTAGGTAATATTTAACATAAAAATTACCAGTAAAATGTCTTCCAGGCCCTCGAACTATCAGGATATTTATTGGAGTTGAAATCTACCAAATTCTAACTTCATAAACGATCATAAAGTCAGGGAATAATCAGATGGATAAAATAAGTCGGATTTATACTCTGTTCTGCCTATTTTTGATCAATTGAGTCGAAGGAGTTTCTTAGACTTTTTTTAACCTAATCAGTACCAACTTCATATCCGATGAAGGCAAGATTACCACTATGAAATCCATATAGAACGAAGTGTCCCTGACAGAGCCGAGAATACCAAAATTAGTCCTAAAATCATGTTCTCAAAGTTGATGACTATTATTGATCCTGCTGGTGCTTTGAGGTCGGCAAATGTTTTGAAATGATCATTAATTTCTGAAAATATTAAAAACTGGAGACAAGCGCAATGTATGAGTTTTGAATGTTTTATTATTTATCACCAGTGAGTGGTTCAGGTAGCTTACCGCTTGAACGCTTCTGAAGCAAATCATGATATCTTTCTATACATTACGATGATGTTTGATCATCTAAACCATCGATTTGTTTTGACATTCGAAGTTTTACTTCTACTTATTCCATTGGTCAGATCTGAATGCATATTTCAAATAACTTCTATAAAAAAAACAGGTATCAATTATTACACTCCGGTTGAGAACGTACGAAAATGGCAAATGTACTAAAAGTATACTAGAACGGCAACACTGTTCGAGAGATGACAACACGACGATGGACTTTTCTGATTCGCTGAAAAATGAAGCCTGTCATCCAGCGACCAATTGGAAAACATACCGTGGTGCAGAATAAGAAATTGAAAGCGAACAACGAACATTTGACAAATTATATGATTATAGGGAACATCTGATAATATAAATCCAACAGGTTGACTGCTACTCAAATAATATACTCGTTGATATAGTGTAAAATCCCAATATGGGGAAATTGGGCTCCATAGTCAGAATATACAGAATTTTCGACTATGAACGAAGCCTATTCGCCCTGAAAGTTGAAGATTCTGGAAAATTCGACTTTCAAGTCCAATGTGAAACCAACGCCATATTTGTTGGCTCGAACCTCTTTCGCCATTGACGGAAAAAAAAGAAATCTCTACATAGCGACCACATCCTAATGAATAGTAATACAGAAAAGGTTAAATTTCGCATATATGATCATATTCTACCAGTTGATTCATTTTTAGATGGAATTGTTGAAAAATAATTCGAAAACACAAAGAATATCATCCAGTATTTTTCTACAAATCCAATAATTTGGTGGGCCCACTAAATTTACATGTGTAAAATCAACATTATCACAATAAATTTTGCATCGCAGGTTGAATAACGATTCACAACAACCTCAAGAAAGCTAAACAACATGCATATTATCTACACCTTCCACTACTATCGAGTTTTCTTTTGAACGCCATGTTCATAAACTCCTAAGTCTCCACACGTAAATGAGTAGGTATTGTCGATCGTGAAACACGGTACATATTTGTTTTCCGAACCCAACCAAATGACAGTAAACCAGGTAGAAATCTTAGTAAACCCACCCATAAGTAGGTAATGAATAACGTCAGAATAACTAAAATCAGACCACTATCGGACTAGAATTAGGGAAATTTCACCTAATTGTTTCCTCGACCTATTGGTCAGGATACCCTAATATCCCTATTCTCGTCTTCTGAATTACTTCCAGTTTTTTCCCCATATTGGTAAATTTGAAGTAAATGAGACGTAATATTCACTTAGGCCAAATAAGTCGTTGACCTATTCTAAGGTCGAAATGACGTATATTATACCTAAAATGTTTGTTGGGTACCAGTTACCATATCTGTCTATTATGATCTTCGATATTGGTCTATTTCAATAGTTGATACATTCTTTGTTCTGGTTCTTCAAAGAGGAAATTCATCAGATTTCATGCTTTAAATAAGTTCATAGTATTTATTCGACCACAGAACAATGATGGAAATAGATTCATCCCTCACAGAACCAAGGTTTTGAACGATTTTCCGATTAT